TCCCAACCACCATCCACACGGGTCCTGGGACATTTAAAGCAAGGCAAGTAGGAATGGGGTGCAAACAAGTGAATGAGATCAAGGAGCTTCTTCTAGCTCAGGTGCTCAAAAAGGTAGCCGTGTACTTTTCCAAGTACATTACAAAAACTAACACAAAAAATGGATTTTGAGAAATGTAGATTTCAAGCATCTCTGCACTGATAGCTCAGTGTCCCTTGCCCAGTGTCCCTTGCCCAGAAAGGAGCAGCAGGACAACTACGCCCAAAAGTTCTCCTCAGAAAGACATATCTAAAGCTATGGATCCAAGGCATTGGTTTTCCAACTGCATCCAAATTCTGCCCTCCTTGTATTGTATGGAACAAAGGTTACCTAGAAAATGATGCCTGGAGCCAAACTGATTAAAGGTACTTCGGCATAACTATAGTCCCAGCACTTTAAAAGCACCAAAGGCTACAGATACCGAAAAGGGGGAGGAAGGAGGATGTGCAAGTACTGCATTAGAGGGGGGGGAGAGGGGGAGGGGGGGAGAAAAAAAAATCAGCCAAATTACGCTTGGTTAATTCAGAGTAACAGATCTGCCCCCAAGTGAATTGGAGGCCTTGAATTAATTCTGTTATGACAAATCAAGATAAACGTTCCCCCTAAATTGCATGCGATTTAATTAATTTTTGAGATCCTGGATTTTTTTTTTTTTCAAGCTAATAGTTCACATGCTCCTGTGCTGTCATTGTGCTTGAGTGGGCAGACTTCAAAGTGATATTAAATAACCAACTATTAGATTTACCTAGCACGTCCTATTGGAAAAATGCCATTTAATTACCTAGCCTGTTCAATTAAAGGGACAGCATTCCCTGAATATAGCAGCTTGCTGTTGATTACCAGAAAAATGAACTCGCTGCCTGGCGGCTCCCTTGCTTTTCCTCCCCTCCTCAAATAGCTCATACTGCGGACAACCACGTGAATGGCAATGAGCAGCGAGGAGAAAATAGAGTATCTTTTGCCTGTTGAAATAGGGATCGAGTGCCTGCCCTGGCATGTCAAATACTCCATGGGCCTTAGCAGGGTTAGGTAGATGGGAGAAGCTGAATAGTCCATTCGATCCAAGGACAAGACCATTTGATCTGAACCTTAATTAAAGCAAAACAAAAAAAGAGGGGGGAGGAAACCAGGCACCCTTTTCCCACTTCACCCCTCCCCAGCAAGAGATTCCAAACAGGACGTATTAAATGATATTAAGGAACCGTGGATGTAGAGATGGCTGCTGAAGCACTAGCCCTTTAAGAAAAGTCTATTTCGCTTCCCCACCATCACACTTTTCAAATCCACCCTAGCCAATTCTCTTCTCTTGCTCTCTCCAAGGCCAATTTTGTTAATTAAATGTTTTGTTTGCGACACCACTCTCATTCATTTCGGACACGTCATTCCAGGCAGATCTAAGCCAGGGATGAGATCTCATTAGATAAAACCTATCAGAACTAAAAGAAAATGGAGGAGACACTAATTAAAGCTCTTAATTGTGCAGATTCACTGCCACACTGCTGCTGCTGCTGCTGCTTTATCTAGAATCTCATGACTGGGAGGGCTGCCCATTACCGCCTCCTTTCCAGTCGCTCTCTCTTCTCCCTCCCCCCCCCCCCCCCCCATTTACTTAGAGTACTATGGTTGCAAGTTAAGGAAACAGAAAAAAAAGTCAACGGACTTCCATCCCTTTACACATGCACACAAGCATCCTTAAGCTGTTTTGAGCCCAGTTTTGAAAAACTACAGTTCAAAGTCACTGTAAAAGCCCCTTGATTAAAAAAAAAGGAGGGGGGGAGGCAAATCTACTCCTATCAGAGTCTTAAAGCAGTCACAGGCTTTCATTTCAGAACTGAATAATCAATTCTCCTCTCAGCTTTATAATGAAAGCATCCTACTGTAACTCTAATTAAAATCATAGTTGGAATTTCTGCACATAGCCCACAGGACAGAGAAGAGGACTTTGGAGGACTGTTCTTCTAGCACCTCTTGTTATCCCTTCCTCTATAAAAACCATACCCACCAGATCGAATGCTGATGAAATGGTTGCATCCTATTTCTTAACAGACTAGGATTTCCACTTACTTGTTTTGGATACCAATGGAAAATCTGGTCTTTTTATATATCTAGATCAGTAGTTTTTTGTCTATGGAACAGATTTCCAGAAACACAGCACATATTTGATGCATTAAAATGTCCTGATCTTCATTTTACCTGGCAAACTACTTGGTTCTATAGAAAAGTCAGGTTGATGGAATAAAACTAGTTCAAATTTACCATCTGATAAAGAGCACTGTTTTAACAACCCAAAACCACACCTGCAATATCTTTTGGCCAGATATATATATATATATATATATATAAAACCTGAAGGACAGATTCCAATAAGCTGGTCTGAACTTGCCTTAGGGATACAGTAGGGAACTTCTTTTTTTAATTAGTAGTGATCATAAGAGGTTTGTTTGACGGTTTTAGTAGAAAGAGACGAAATCTGTACTGTTCATTGAATTTGAACAGTAGTGTCAATTTTTCCACTTCAAACAAACCTCTTTCTCTAACCGTTCTGCTCTATTTAATTAGAATTATGTCTCGCTTATGTAGTTGCTTCAGACAGGGATCAAGAATACATCTGTGCAAGCTTGCACAAACTTGTGCTTTACCATTTATTTTAAAAATCTAGATGCTTAGCAAAATTAATATTGGAAGCCGCCTAAAATCTTTTAATGACTTTTTTTCTGCATTCTATTTAACTGGCTGAAAGTGCCTGCAGAAAAAAAAAGGATAAACAATAAATTATAAGCAAGCAAAAATCTCTCTGGTGCATTATTCTCAGATATCACTTATCTGAGCCAAAATTCAGCACAGTACTACACCTTGTAGTACTACACAGTACTACAGCCCAATGGAAATTCCACCAGTAAAGCATTTAAAATATTAATAGCCAAACACTAACATCTGAGGCAGAAGTATAAGGGAAATATTCAGCCATGAAACTGGTAGTTTCACCCTTAAGACACTTTTGTAAATACAATCTATAAAGTCCAAAAATAAAGACTACTGAGACAACACCCCATATGCTTTTTTCTCTCTCTTTTTTTTTTTTACATTCTTTCCATGCCAAAATGAGGGAGGGATGTTAGAGAGAGAGAGAGAGAGAGAGAGAGAGAGAGAGAGAGAGAAAAGGAGGCTGTTTAATTACTGGCTGCTGAACTAGATCACCCCCTCAAAGCATTCATGTGCATCAAGTCTATCAAGCCATTTACTCAAATTAAATGTGTAATCCTTCAAAATGCCTCCTTTCAAATTAGTTTGAAAGAGCTCAAGTTCACCTGAAAAGATCCAAATAGGTACCCGACCTCTTAAAATTCCTTGTTAATTGCATCAAAAAGTAGTTTGCATTAGGAAAAACAAACCTGACATTGAAAAAGTGAGGCGAGTGCTTTTTGTAACTAGAGATATTTAACTGTTTATTCATCTACATCCAGTGTTCCTGAGCTACTGAAAAATAAGCCCTCCAGCAATATGAACATAAACATTACTAATGGGCTACAATTTTGGGTGTGTGTCACCACATCAACAGCTGATCAACACTTCTACAGCACCTATACAAAAAACCCTCATCATTTTAAACACCTTTTCTTGAAAATACCACAGGAAACCGTTACTTTATCCATTCAGTCACAGCTAGCTCTTATCCCCCCCACCTTTTTTTTTTTTAAAGTGGCAAAGAAACCCAATTCTACTTGCGCAAGATAGGTTTTAGCAGCTAACTGTGAGCTGGAATTCTTAAAAGTTCAGGAGCACCTCAAAAGTTTATTTATTCACATCTCTCCCAACTTTTCTATTGTTATCTGGGAAAAGACATGCCCTTACAAAATCAGGCTTCTAGTTCTGAACTGCTACCTACATACAGATGGGGTTATTTCTAGCTCAAACTTTCTTTTGTATCCGCGCATCTTCTTCTTTCCCTCTGCCCAACTCACCTGATATAGTCATTTCTGCACAGGATCATGCCGCTCTTCGTGTAACAAGATGTACCGATTTCTCCCAGCTGGGCTTGGCAACAGGAGCACTTCAGGCACCGACTGTGCCAATAGCTATCCATGGCATACAGCAAGAAGCGATCAGCAATCTTTCCCCCGCAGCCTGCACATCTTTTCCATGAGAGGGAGCCACTGGTGACAGGGGGCGGTTGCGAGCTGCTGCCTGGGTTCACCATGGTCTGGATAGGAAAAAAAGAAGGGAGGGAGGGAGGGAGGGAGGGAGAGAAGAGCGGGTTAATTTTCAGGCAAATGATTCAGGAAAACACCGATACAATTTGCTTGCTTAATGCAGCACTTCCTAGGGGGAGAAGGGAGAGAGGACAGAAAGATGGGGAACAGCCACTTGTTTACTTTTCCAAGTCTTTGTTCTGGGTTAATTAGCCACGTCCCTTCCAAGTTGACTAGTGGTGCCCAGTGACAGTTTTAGCTCGCAATGGTCCTGTCAAACTTAGAGTGACCTCCGCTTTGTTTGTTGCCAAGAAAGTACACACACCTGGAGTCACACAGTCTACTTGGCCCTCCCAGATATAAATGGTTGGGGCCCACACCACAAAAACTAGGAGGGCAGAAAAACTAGCTAGAACACCACCAATTACAATTCTTGTGAAGCACGGCTGTACTACTTCTCATGTTCAGAGAAGAGTTCAGGAAATTGTTTAGTTCTAGGTAGGAAAGTAATCTTTTGAAAAAATCTAGAAAGTTGTGAAACTGGTTTTTCAAGGTCTCCTTTTTCTTGCCATTGTTATCTGCAGGGGCTCCCAACCGTGATTGTCCTAATGTGTTTGTTCTAAAAAAGATCAAATGCAGTGGAGCCCCACCTCCTGAAAAAAATAATAATGGATCACTAAACTTTAAGAAGCCTGTTAACTTCCTATACAAACACAATCTACCTTTGTTTTGCTAATCTGCCCTTGATCAGCAATTTAAATGCTAAACGCTTTGTTGCCCTAAAAAAGGGGGAAAAAACTTTTTGTGATAATAGCAGAGGTATAGATTATTCAAGTATGCCCCACTAGGAAACAGCTAAGCATAGCTGTTTGTAAAATTGCTGTTTTTGTTTAAAGATTGTGTACGCACACTCATATAGAGATGTGTTTGTTGCTTTCTAATAAACACTTCTAAAAGCAGGGCAATGGAGAGATTAATAATAGAACCAATTCATAAAGCTTATTCCAAACAGATTAATTTGCTCCAGTAGCCAAAATAGGAGTGCCCCTTCTGTCATTTCTGTAATAAAATATCAAGTTATTTACTGCCAATTTAACAGCCCATTTTGCCTTTGTTCTTTCTAAGCTGTACTTGCTCAACCTAAGGCATCTGTTTATTTAATAAGAACCCCCCTCCCCAAGGGAAAAAGAGTGCAAACTTTCTTGCCACTTGCCTAACTTCACTACAACAGCAGCTTCAGGTTCCTTAAAATAGGCCATTAAAAAAAGAATAAAACAAACAGGATTTCCTTCAAAATAACTCCTGATCATATGTTTCAGATGACCACACAATAAACCAGACTGAGAACTGCACCAATTAAGACTGTAACTAAAAACCCCAAGACTTGGGAAAGAGAACCACTCTAAAAGCCATTAGCATTGCATTTCTCTGAATGCACCATATACCTTTATGTAAATTGATTTCTGATGCATTTAACTCACGGAATGGCCTTTTGTTACTACTTCCAGCAATATGAATCTGCATTTCTTACTTTTATTTAAAACAAACAGATTTCAAATTATATAAACCCCATGGAGATCGTCTGTAGGCAGACAAACACAAACCCCACCAATTTGCTCTCACACACACACCCCGCCAATCTGCTTTGAAAGGTAAATATTATATATAAAGGAAACGTTACAGGGACAGAAGCGTCCAGTAACCCCATTAAGCTTAAAGCTCTTAAGGACAGGCAATACCTTAATGCTGATTAAATCTAAAAGAGGCCAAATCAGGAGGACTGACCAGAAAGTGACTCTCTGATAACTAAGGACAGGTCCTCCTCAAGTTTCATTTGGAATTGGAGGGGTGACAGAGAAAGAGAAGAAAAGCTTTTAAGTTAAATAGGCTTACTCTGGTAATTACACAGCTAAGCAATTTAGGTCCCGGAACAGAGGCAATGAAACAAAAAAGAAGAGAGAGAGAGGGAAAAGAGAGAGAGAGAGAGAGCTGGCAGCTAGAGGCAAAACACACCCTCCCTCTTTTTAACAACGTCTCTGGTGATTTTAATGGAGACCGAGGGAGGAACGAACGTAGAAGCTTTGCAATTTGTTGTGTAAAAAAAAAAAAAACGGAGATGCTTAATTCACGGCTTTGGTTTTAATTAGGTTGATTCATCAAGATTTCTCGCTAACAAAAAAGGAGGGAGAGGAAGAAAGAGAGGGAGAACACACAGACACACACACACACACCACACCACAGACTCCCCCCCCACCCCCCCCCCCCCCCCCCCCCCCCCCCCCGCCCCAGCCAGACCTGCCACTGTTTCAAAATAACATTTGACTACAAAGAGAAAGTGGGTGACGATCCTCCCTCCCAGCTTCTCGGGACTCGCAGGCGGATCCGGGCAAAGGGGAAGCGTTGCGCGCTCGGGGCAAGGCGCTTTTTTTTTTTTTCCCCCCTCCCTTTCTCCCGCTATGCCGCCGCGGGGCAGCCCCGGCCACAGCTCCGCTCGCAAGGCAAGCAGCCCTCGGCGGGTCCCGAGCAGAAAAGGCTGGCGCTATGACTTCCAGTTCCGGATCGGGATGGGGAAGGGAGGGAGGGAGACCAAGCGGGAAGGGAAAGGGGCCCGATTGGGAACCGGTCCAAATTAACAGCCCGACTCTCCCCCCCCCCCAAAAAAAGGGGCCCCCCCCCCACCCCCATCCCCGTTTTACCTGTTTTCCCTCTATGGTGCAAGAGGCCGTGGATAACGTGGCGGAGGCGTCGGGAGAGCGCTCGGGAGACGGAAAGGCTTTCTCGCCCGAGGAAGGACGGGGGATCTGTCGCCGCTTCTTCGGAAAAGCCACCCCCGAAAGCTTGTGCTGGGCGAGATCCTCAAGCCCCACGGCCCCACGGCTAGCAGCAGGGACAGCGGGGTTGGGAGGGGTGAGAGGGGGGAAAGGGGGGCAAATGTCCGGGGAAAGGCTTGCTTCAGCCCTGCCTTCTTCTTCTTCTTCTCCTCCTCTCCTCTTCCTTCCTTCGACCGCCGAGGCTTCCCCTCGAAGGGAGCTGCAACCGAGAGCTTCTTCGCGGCTGCCGAAAGCGAGCGCCGCCGCCTGCTGCTGCTGCTGCTGCTGCTGCTGCAATCGCTGGGTTAAGTTTTGGCAGAGGTTGGCCGCACTTCGGAGAGCGCGCGCGCGCCCGCCCGGGCTCTCTCTTCCCCCACGGCCCCTTTTCCGCCGACGACACCTCTTCCTCCTTCCAGCCCTGCGGGAGCTCCGGCGGCTTGGCCCAAAAAGCGGCTCTTCGATGCCCACCAACTACGGTCCTTGGAGGTGGGGTTGGGGGGGGGTGCGCGGAGGAAAGGAGCCGGAGCCGGAGCGCAAAGAGAGAGAGAGAGAGAGAGAGAGAGCGGGGACAACCGCCGCGGCTGCTATTGCTGCTGCTTCTCTTCTTCCTCCGGCGGCTGCTGCTGCTGCCGCTGCTGCTCCGCCGAGCAGGAGCCGCGGAGGTGTCGGCGGCGGCAGGACGTGCAAAGGAGGCCCCTCTCGCTAGCGCCCTCGCAGCTTCTCTGCGCCGCTCTTGCCCATGTGTTACTGACAGAGCAAAATCCCAACTGCTCGCGGCTCGGCCCCTCGCGTCACGGCGCCTCGCCCAATCCGCCCGCAGCTTGTTCAGGCGGAATAATAAAACCTGCCAATCGCGAAGAAGACAAAGGAATGAAGGGGAAGGGAGAGGGAGGTGGGGGGGGGGGAATGGGGGGGGGGGGGGCGCGGGGGGGGGGGGGGGGGGGGGGGGGGGGGGGGGGGGGGGGGGGGGGGGGGGGGGGGGGGGGGAAGGCAGAGAGGAGACGGGGCTTCGTTAAGTCAGCTCCGAAGGAAGCTGAGCCGCGGCAGAAGCCTGGACGGGCTGGAGGAGGAGAAGGAGGAGGGTGGCGGCGCCTCTGCCCGGGGCCGCTCCGTCCTGTTCCGCTCTTCCATGGGATCGGAGACCTTCTCCGCCCCACTGATTAGCGCGCCGGAGGACGAGAGCTGCGCGGTCCTCCCGTCGGGGTCTCCACACACACACACACACACCCCTCCAGGTTTACTCCGGGTGCGGTCCCGTGCAGTCACTTTATTTACATAAGGCCACCAAAACTCCCCGGTTGGCTTGTTTCCTCCTAGGATCCCATATAGCGGGACTTAGGCAGGAGCGTCTCACTTCGGGGGGAAACACAACTTGAGACTCGCAACAGACGTAGACTTCGCAATCGTGTGTGAGAGAGAGAGTGTGTGTGTGTGTCTCCCTGCAACACGAACCGCCTTAAAAGTCGGCACGGGGGCGGCGGGGGAGAAGCGGTCCGATGTTCCCATTACAGCCCCGGGTGTGTGTGTGTGTGTGTGTGTGTGTTTTTACCCGTTTTGCGCAGCTCGACGTGGGGAAACGGTCCCCCTTTTTGGACTTCTTGTGAACGGGCCAATACACGGGAATAAGAGCGCGAAGCCGCCTTTGGCATCCAAACGCCGGACTTGCTGAAACGCGCGGCTCGCGAACTGGGCCAGGGGTTTTTTTTTTTGTCCCTCAAAAATGTGCGTGGCGCTGTTGCGGTGCGTGTCGTGGGAAGGTTTTGGTTTTTGTTTTTTTTTTCTACAGGTGAGGTGCGAGGAAGCTCTTGGCATGGCAACAGGGCAGGAAAGCGCCCGTGCGCCGAATCACAGAAGCGCTGAAGCGCGTTTCCAGCCCCTTTTTCCTTCGTGCCTCTGCCGCGAAGCGGAATATGGGAGTGTCATTGCACACGGGGGTGCGAGGAGCACTTTTTTTCTTTTTTTGGTGCCTGCTTCTGTCAAACTCCGATTTCACAGAGAGGTTGCTCCATGGGAACAGGGGACTGGCCCCAAAGAAGCCTCTTTAGAGATTTATGGGGATTCTCAGTCACGCAGGTCGTGGTTGTCCCAAAGGTACTTTTTCAGGAGGCAACTGAAGAAGCTTCTTGGATAAGAAGCGAAAGGTCTTCAAAGGAAAAAAAAACACAAGAAATTCCAGTTGCCTCCTGAAAAAGTACCTTTGGGACTCTTTAGAGATTGTTTCCATTCTTCTCTCTCCCCTTGTTTCTCTGAGTCACAGCAAAAGAGGAAGGGGAAAATCTCCTTTCTCCTCAAGTGGGACGTTCCCCTCCGTTTTCCCTGATAGAGTGAAGGGGCATTGAAAGCATCCCTTGGAGGGATTGGACAACTGCATCACAGCCACCCGGGATGTCCTTGACACTTGCCCACAAGTCTTCTGGGGAAGCTTCTGAACACCCATAAAAATTGGTTGCCCTGGGGTTTAGGGGCTGCAGCTCCTAAACTGGAGAGGATGAGCACATTCTGCTTAGAGAGCTGCTGCTTCCTCCAATTCCCTTCCTCTGAGGAAGTGGAAATGGAGAAAGGACCTGCCAAAAAAAGCTTTTTGTCCGATCAGTGGGAAGACAATGAGAGTGGGGAGAGAAGCGAGGAAGAACAATTTCCTTGCTACCAGTTCTCTGTTCTAATCTCCATGGGATTAGAGAAATGACAGTGGAATACCCTGCTTCTCCCACTCCTATGGGAAGAACTGAGTCTTTTGGGTGCCTGCACTGCTTCCTCCTATCCCTAATTTGGGAGGAGAGTAAGAGAAAGATGCCTTTTGGGCTTGGGAGGAGAGCCCTGAGGCTTCTGGCCAAAGTCAACTGTCCTTGAAAATCATTGGCCTGGAATCGGAGGGGAGGTGTGCCCATGGCAGCCTCAAGTGACCAGATGGAACTGGGAAGGCTCTTGCCTCTAATCTTACCTTGGCACAACATGCCTCAGACAAATTAGTGGGCTCACCTTGGTTGGAAGACAATGGAAGATAGTCCTTTTTGATTCAGATCAAGAAAATACAGGTAGAAAAACTCTCTTCACAAGTGGTTGACCATCATGTCCTTGACATATACATTGGTCATTTTCACACCATTTCTGGCACAAAAGCACTTCAAGCTAATTGTCTCCATTTCATTTCTTCCTTGTGAATAGTAAAACATAATTCCCATCATACACAGTTTATGACAAGTCAAAGGAAGTATTTAGACCTATTTATATTTATAGTTTTATTAGTTATTTATAGTTTTTATGTAAGAATTGTGAATAAACTCTTTAAAAGTACTAGCCTTGCCAATCCACAGTTTTCTGAGGCTCAAAAGAGTAATCTGTAAAACCTAGCTGCCTGATCACCTGATATATTTTTATTTTTTGCTGATGATCAAGAAAATGAATATTTGCAAACCTTTATAAAATCTAAGCCTTGTATGCAAAAAGTGCTTTATTATTGCACAACAATATGAAATATCTCTCATAAGCTCTCCTTTATATCTCTACCCTTGCTGTAACAATTCCATTAATTTAGACTGAGTATTTAGACCACATCAGCAATAATAAGTAGAGAGTCAATTTGGGGTAGTGTTTAAGGTACAAGGCTAGAAACCAGGAGAGTGAGTTCTAGAATATCTCTGGGCACAAAGCCAACTGGGTGACCTTGGGCCAGTCATTTTCTCTCAGCCCTAGGAAAGAGGAGATGGCAAACCACTTGCCTGAAGGGACTTGTCCAGGCACACTCTGGGAATTAGACATGATTGAATGGAAGAAAAAAAATCAATAAAAGTATAACTTGTTCCATTAACATAGAATGAAGGCGGTCTTCATCAAAGCATCAGTCCTTAAATTGCTTCCAATTGAAAATCAGTTGAATAGGACTAACTATTAACACTGATCCTAAAGATAATAAAATAATGAAGTAAAGCCTGTTCCTTTTTTTTAAAGCAGAAATTTCAGAATTTTGGACTTGGTTGTATGTTTAGAAAGTTAACATTTGGCCAGTTCTTCATGCAATGGACTTAGGGTTAGGACTAAATTTGATCTTTTGATCTGTTGACTTGAGAGGGGGAAAAAGAGAGAACAACATTCCTCTCATCAAAACAGTAGTTATTGATTTTAAATACTCCTTGTTGAAATCAATGGGGAGTTCAGCTTAAAAATTAATGCTACTGTAACTCAGTGTTATTAATACCCCATAAAATTTTAAAAGAGGAATATGTTTTACATTTGTCTGGCAGTTAACAATGCAGCGTGCCATTTAAAAAGGCAATGCCATCATTCTTTAAAACAAACAATGAAGCAAACTTCAGCAGAGCACAGACTAGTTAAAGGAATTAAATATCCCACAGCGTAAAATTCTAATGAAAAAATGAAATATTAATTCCATGAATAGGACAGTTGTTGCATCCCATACATAACAAAAGTTATATGCAAACATCCTTAAAGAGGAAATATTAATAAAGGAAGCCTTAAGTACATAGAATTCATGGAACTTTTAATAGGTATTTTATAGTCTGCTTTGTTGAGTCAAAGCATTTAAAAAGAAACATTTGGATAGTAGATGGAAGGTTATAGAAATCAATCTTTAATTTATCAATCTGATTTAAAGATAGTCTACTGTAGTCAATCATGACTTAATGTGATCACATTAAGTCATGGGATCACATTAAGTTACTGGGATCAATCCTGGTAATCAAATTGACATGTCCATATAGTATCTTGGCAATAATATGGAAACAGCTTGCATTATCTTTTTTGGGAATGTATTTTGAGCTTCTTGCTCGGCCTCAAAGCATTAGTTGATTTAAGGTTGTATTGTACTCAAATTTAACTATGATTAGGCAAACCACAGTGACCTGTATCACATGTAATGTTAAGCCTTAAATGATAGCTTATATTCCACAGTGGCTGAGATTTATGCTAAGCAAGGTTACATTGATAGATGAATTGAGCCACCGCACCTTACTCAAAATTATTTCTAAATCGAAGGGAATCCAGCAGCATATTTTTTAACTAACAGGGCAGGCAGTTTTATGAGCTGTTTATGCCTTTTAAAAATTTGTCATTTGGAAGGCGTGCTCTTCCTCTTCCTAGTGACAAATTTTCCTCTTCAAAATGATAAACTCTTCCTCACTTACAAGTAGGACAATCAGATTTAGGCTGCATAGATCTGGATGCCCACTAGATAGCAGTAGAAAACTACATACAATTGTAACACATTGCTATCATCTTATGGTCACTGCAGTATCATAGCTCTGCTTACAAGGCTTTTGTCAGGATATAATATGATAATGTTTATTTTGGTCAGTGACCAGACAAAATAAATATACGCAAACAAAACAGAGCAGGAATTCATCTACACAAACACGGATAAGGATAATATAGAAGGAACTGTGCATCCTGTCCCATGCACGTGGATAAAATGAAGATACACAATATAATAACATGGATCCAAGAC